TTTGTACTAGACAGTGACTCGGAGTATGGATTTACTAGTGGTCGAGGTTTTTTTGAATTTTCTTGGATAACTACTGACTGCAGCACTTATATCCACCTCGTGGATTGAAGCCTTCGAGAATGCTCTACCATTTGGTAGTCATAAATGTTACCTATGAATTTTTCAGAAAAAAAGAAAATTTTGAGAAAGAGTGTTGCAGAACTTTCTTTCCAACCTAATATATTTAGTAAGCGAACAAGCTCTGACGCATCGATGCTGCAGGCGCGAACTAGCGCAGCGGCTTCTGTGGACACGACTCAAGTTATACGAAAGTGAAAAGAACTCAGTACAAAAAGATTCACCGAAACCTAACACATAGTGAAGCAGTGTCACCACTTACTCAATTTGAATCCATTCAGAATCCACCACAGCCGGCAGCGTCGTCCACCGCGGTCTCGAACCCCGCGGTAATCGAGCAGCTCAACCGCTTGCGAGTTTAATACAGACTATCTCGCCACGTTCGACCCTATTCCTTCCGCCCAACAGGGTGAGCATCTGAGGCGGACACATCGGACACTCAGAAATCGATAGTATAGCGAGGCACCAGAACCCACGAAACACAAATGACATATTTCAGCTCGGAAAGATGAACAAGCCGCCGCCGAGGCAAAGGGAATCTCCTTGGACACGGACGGCACAGACTACCAGGCTCCAAGGTGAGTGTAATCAATTTCCGTTGGGTTCAATACAAGGGGTTGAAATAGCTCGTATGTTCGCCTCGTTGACCCTGCCCGACGTGAATACATATAATGACCCGAATGGAAGGGAGTTCGGGGATTTTCTCGCCCAATTTAGGTTGAAGTACCAAGGGCTGAGATTAGATGACGACATGCTGGTGCATTTGTTACTTTCAAAACTGGATGGGTTCCCTCGGTCCGTGGCAGAGGCGCTACCCAGGTCTATTAGAGCAGCAGGTTTTGAAGCCATAGTCGAGGCTCTGAAGGACAAATTCAAAGAGAATGAGTCCTCAACACAAATGAACGCCTACATGAAGCTGAAGACGTTACGCATGGAGGGGGACGTGACAAGCTATTGCGTAGAATTAGAAAAACTCACGCAAAGAGCTTACCCTGAAGCTTCTGAACAGGAGCTGTCGCGTACACGGGCCTCGGAACTGGTTGCTCAGTTATCGAGTTGACCAGAATATCTTCAGCTGTACACGACCATGGAAGTAGCACCACGGCAAAAGCAAAACAATGGCGCAAAGGTGTGAGCGTAGCAGAGCACTCGCGACCGCAACTAAAAAGACGCTGGATGCCTCCAAGCTGCGTCGTTCTATTCCGGAAGAACGTAAAACTGAGGAAAAGAATCGTCCACAGTTCAGACAAAAAGAGAGTCTACCTGCGCCCACGACCAATCAGAATAAAGAGTATAAGGCGCCAATGAGCCAAAGACGGGTGCCAAAATGTAACAAATGCAATGAGTACGGCCATTTTCCACGGGATTGCAAGAAAACTAATGGGCAAGGGCCTAAGTCGAAAATGGGCCCAAAAACAACCAAGGATGCCCCACCAGACGAACCGCGCGTTTTTCACTGCGACCTTCGGAAAACGGCTAGATCTAGAGCATAAAGCGTCTTTCGAAATGTGAAGGTCTAGTAGGGGAGCGAACTACGGCTACTGTGAAGTTACTAGGACTTACACGAGCAGCGCTCCTAGACACTGGATCACAGATAAGCATAATACCGCTCGAAATGCTGCGAGCAGGCCAAGCATCTGGTTTCAATCTCGACGAAGACGTTGAGCAATTTCCGTTGGAAAACCAAGCACCAATCTTGGATGCTTCTGGCAACAAAATGCAGTTCGAGGGAGCAGTGAGGTTGACGTTGGAACTCGAGGAAGGCGAGAAGCGTCGAGTTGCGTTGTTCGTAAAGGCTGGAGGAGACGACACACTAGTTTTGGGAACTAACGCCCTGCGAGCTCTCGGAGTCAGCCTAATTACGAAGGGTACAAAGGGTCATACCCACAAGCAACACCTCGGGCCAGCACAATCCAGCCCCATCGAGGAAAAACTCAGGCGCAATACGCGCACAAAACGGAAGAAATTGCCGACTAGTGAACGAGTCGTTGTCAGCAAACGAACATACCTTCGACCAGGAGAAACAAAATTGCTTCCTGTGCAGTGTACTGAATCCGGGAAAGAAGGGATTCTCTGGTCAAAATGCAGTTTAGTACCGAATATTATTTGTCACAAGGCAAGCCACTCCCTGGAAATCCCCTCACCAACGACTTTGCAGGAGCAAAAATTTTTCGGGAGGGGGAGGAGGTAGGCACCTATGAGGCCGGTCAAGATACGCGAAGCAGAGCCCGTGAAGTGTTACGGTGCCCGCCCGGCCCGGCGGGCCGGCGCCCGGGCGCCAGGCGCGTGCCGGCGCGCCCCGGGTGGCCGGGCGCGCGGGGGCGGCCCGGCGTCCCGCGCGGCGGCGCGGCGCGCCCGCGGGCCGCGGCGCGGCGGGCGCCGGGGGCGCCGCGCGGCGGGCGGCGGGACGGGGGCCGCGGCCCGGGCGGGCGGGCGCGGCCCGCGCGCCGGGCCCGGCCCGCGGCCGCGGCGGCGGCGGCCCGCGGCCGCCGGCGCGCGGCGGGGGCCGCGGCGAGCCGGCGCGCCGGCGGCGGGCGGCGCTGAATATGCTCGAGCGTACGGCCGATGTGATCAAAAACCGGGAAGAAAAACTGCTGCGACTATTGTACGAGAACAAGAGTGGGAAGCAAGAAGAAGGTATGGATACCCTTTGTAAAAGCTACAGCGATGTTTTTGCTGTCAGTGAGCAAGAACTGACCCAAACTACACTAGTCGAGCATTCGATTGAAACTGGTGATGCAAAGCCGATCAAGCAGAAAGCACGTCCGATACCGCTATCTACCCGAGTAGAACTCCGTCAAATACTAAGCGACCTACAGGGGAGAAAAGTGATTGAACCCAGCAGTTCAAGTTGGGCATCTCCTATTGTATTGGTCCAGAAAAAAGACGGCACGTTAAGGTTGTGCGTGGACTACCGGAAGGTGAACCAGGTAACGAAGACGGACAGTTACCCGCTTCCAACCATTGATACAATCTTGCAGAGTTTAAAAGGCAAAACAAGGTTCTCCACCCTTGATCTCTCGTCAGGGTACTGGCAGATTACCTCTCACAAGCATGCTAAGAGTAATCCGCATTTCACCACAACGAAGGACTCGTGACAATGGTCGAGTATGCCAGTGGGCTGGCAATCAGCTCAGATCGTATATCCAGCCGTAGCATATAACTTCGGACGTTACATAGGCGCGTGAGTGTTTTGCTACCTAGATGACATAATGGTAGCAACAGACTCTGTCGAGCGACACCTAAAAATATGGAGGAAAGTGTTTCAAAGCCCTGAGGAAAGCAGGACTAAGACTGAATCCGAGGAAGTGTGTTATAGCTGAACGGAAAGTGGAGTTTCTCGGGACATGTCACTGACGGCGAAGGATTGCACATGGATCCAGCAAAAGTGGAGGCTATCAAGAAGTACCCAATTCCACGGACGCGTGCAGATCTTCGCTCATTCCTAGGCATGTGCTCCTACTATCGTAAATTTGTGCTAGGATTCTCGAAAGGTTGCAGCACCGTTGCATGAGATGACTTCGGAAAAGAAGCTTTTTGTCTGGATCATTTCGAGAAGTGAAAAGAATATATAACGGAAGCTCCCGTACTCGCACAGCCAGACATAGAAGCTGCAAGGAGCGGGAAGGAAACCATTCAAAATCCATACCGACGCTAGCACAGAAGGCTTAGGAGCGGTATTGAGTCAGGAGGGAGAAGATGGATTTCTCCACCCCATATTCTTTGCGTCTAAAGGTCTGTCCTAAGTGCGAGAAAAATTACCATGTTACAGATCTTGAAGCGCTTGCAGTAGTTTTTGCGCTACGGAAAATTCCACATGTTCGTGTATGGCCTCCGCATCGAAGTATTTACTGACCACCAGGCATTGACAGCTCTATTCAAGAGGAGCAATGTGTCAGCCAGAATTCTTCGCTGGGCTTTAGAGCTACAAAAGTACGATGTGAAGATGATCTATTTGAAAGGGCCGCAAACAAGGTAGCAGACGCTTAAGTCGCGGAGCAATACCCCTGAAAGATCTCTCCATCGAAGAGCCCATGCCGAATGAGCTTATTGTGGGAGCGGTTCAGAGAGAACCAGAATGGACAGCAGAGTTGCGAGAGCACTCCGTATACGGGAAAGTCATAGCTGACTTGGAAAAAGGAAGGTTGGATAATGACGTGAAATTCCCTGGAGTTGCCCGTTATTACAAAGTCGCCGATTTCGCGATGGACCATGGGAATCTCGTTCTAATGGAGAACGAGCAGCGCCGAATGGTTGTCCCTCCATCTCAGCGGAAAAAGGTTTTTGACGAGGCGCATGCTGGCCTACTAGCTGGACATTTTGGGCCGAGAAAGCTAATACGGCAGCTGTCCAAAAGGGTGTTCTGGGAGACGTTGAGCCGAGATGTGGCCAAATGGTCAGAAGAGTGCCGCGAATGTTTGTGTCACAACGCTCAACCGACTATTACTCCACCGCTCAAACCCATTTGTACGTCGAAGCCCTATGAAGTGGTGGGAATTGACATACTCGAAATGGGACCGACTAGCAGTGGCAACCGGTACATACTCACCATAGTTGACCACTTCTCGAAATATGGAGGTGCGTACGCGATACCCAATAAAGCGGCAGAAACTGTGGCAAAAGCTTTTTTCGGAAAGTGGATCGCAGAAGGATGCCGCCAGCCAAAACGTATACTCTCCGATCAGGGAGGAGAGTTCGACAATAAGCTGATGGAAGAACTGAAGAAAATCCTGGGAGTAGAACATGTGTTCACTAAAGGGTACAACCCCCGTGAAAATGGATTAACGGAGAGGTTTAACCAGACCATCATCAAAATGTTGCGGAAAAAGGTGCAAGTTCCAACTGAATGGGACAAAATATTGCCTTATTGCGTTTTCGCGTACAACACTACCGCTCATGAGTCAACAGGAGAATCACCATTCTTTTTACTGCATGGTTTCGACGCATATGTGCCATGGAACTCAGTCCCTGAGCCTCACGTAAGCAAGTACATGGTGGACATGGACAGCTACGTGCAAGAGGTGGCTGTAGGAACGCAGATAGCACGGGATTACGCAGTCGAGATAAACGACAAGATGCGAAAAAGAATGAAGTTGTACTATGATAGGGAGAAGAAAGTGCGCGAGGCACCGCTGAACATTGGTGATCGGGTGTACCTAAAAATTCCCAGCGAACGTCAGTCACTCAACCCCAAGCTAACGAATCCTTGGGAAGGCCCATATAGAGTGATAGCGACGAGCGATAACAGTGCCCTGGTAACGTTAATTGGCCAAAACAAGGAACCGGTGAGAGTGCCCTTTGATATGCTGAGGAAACTTCCGGCGGGAATCCCGGACGACCCGATTAAAACGCGGAAAAGCCGGGGGAAAAGGGGCCGACCACGTAAAAATGTCTCACCATCACAATTGCCGATAACGTGTAATCTAATTTGTGTTTCCAGGACTCTGCTCGGCGTCGACAATGTGCTCAATCTACGCTACAGATGTCAGTGCGGGCTGTTCGGTCAGATGGCCCACGTAGCCCTACCAGGATTGACGCACCCAATAGCTAGAGCCAAGAAGGTCCAAGACATGTTTCAGCTCGCGAATGTTGCGTCGATCGCGGAGCAGGCATGTTGGGGTGAAGAGCGAAAGGAAGAGGAGCTCCGCAAGAAGAGCTCGTGCTTCATCACACCCTATGGACTGGCCCTAGCAGTTGATGCTCATCGACGACGTTGTCAGGTGTACGCGGAAGCCGTGGAGAACGCCAAAGGAAAAAAGTTCGATCATCCTGCGGTATTCTCCTGGCCAGTGCCGTACGATTTGGGAGCACACCTTACCACCGCAATCGCTCTGCAGGGAAAACTGCGCATTCCTGGCGCAACAACGGCCGCTAAACTGGAGATTTTCATCGCGCTGCCTTCAGCTTTTGGTCGTGTGGGCGTCGATGTCGACTACGCAGATAACATCACACCATACGTCTATGCAAATTGGAGTGCCCTTGCCGAGAAGCTGATCTCCATGCCTATTGTCACATCCATCATCGTGGTATGGCCGGACACTACGCCAGAGAGCAGAGAAATGCGCCAAGTTTTGATCGCACTTGAGCGCCACCTGCAGTCGGCAGGCTCACTTGCGTTCTTCCCGAGCCCGTATGAGGACGACAACGAAACGGAATGGACTCATATGGGAAGGGTATGCGCAGAATACGTGCGTTTCATGACAAACCCTCAACGCTCGTTTGAAGCCATTGTGAGGGATCACTACAGCGACGTCCTGGAAGCGGCGCCATATACCCACCCTGCCGGATGTATGGGAACACATCCGCGTCGCGCTCAGGGTCAATTCGGTGGCTATCAGATAAGGCTGTTCTTGGATAAGCTCCGCCTCACCGTCAATGATCTGATCAAGATGGATGAATTTGAGATGGCCTCACCCGAACTCAGGGACCGTCGACACCAGGAGAGGCTCCTCAAACGTCGACGTCGACAAGAGGAAAGGATGCCGAACTTCTTCGTCATCGAGGATCCCGAACGTGTTCGCCACCACCGGTCGCTCACATTCCGCAGACCATCGGACAGGGACAGGCCCACGTCGAGACACTATTCGCCACCTGAGAGGAGTCGTCGCAGATCTCAACACCTACACGAATCGCGAAGACACGACCGCGGACAAGGACCAAGCTCTACCCGTCGATCGTCGTACCAGCGTGTTGATTCCCCGCGTCGCAGACACTCCCCTCGTCGTAGCGGATCGCAGAGGAAATAGAGTCGGGACGACTCTTTGGCCAGGAGGGGCATGTAGATATGTAAATACATTGTATTTGGTTACTATACTTATTTTTGTCACTTATCTATGTATCTACTTATCTATGTTCACTTAGCCTTTGCCTAGCCGATCTCTGTTATACCGTATCTCATTTCATAACCCACTATCGTTGTACTTAATCTCCCCTTTTTTCGAAATCCTTGTGAATCTCATGATATCCACGTGGGCACCACTATATAAGGCTTTAGGCCCCGCCCCTTTGTTCTTTCTACTCTGTTGCGATCTGTCGAGCGGTTCGCTCGTAGTCAATAAAGTTTCCAGGTACAAGCTGTTTGACACCCCTAGACGACAGAACAAGCGAGACCGGACCCAACACATATTCATTCGAAATGCAAAAATTTGTCACCACGAGGAATCGAACTAGGGACCCCTTTTCTGGTATTCAGAGGCCGTTCAGGAAAAATTAACCATGGTTCTGTGGTTCCCGCATGTGCCCCTATATCATGCAAAAGACCGTTTTGAAAAAGCTTGGCACGCCCTGAAAGACCTTCCTGGTGAGTTTCATCTGATTTTCGATTCGATTGTTCTTGAAGCTATTAGACTTCCACAATCTAATGGCAAGCTTTCGGCAATAATGCCATCATCAGACCAATCTTAAAAATTACAATACTTGCGACTGATCAACTGTTCTTATACAATAAACACGATACATCGACATACCAGCGATAAGGGAGTACGGAGGGGACCTATGAGGGTCGGGAACGAGTGAAAAATGAGACATCATCCCCGAGGGAAGGACTTCATTGATTACGTAAGAAGTCTCAAAGGTCACGTAACTCTTCCTTTCGCGTTAATTTCTGGCTTGATTCGATGTATTTCCCGCGCTTCCATGATCTTTCTTTCCAGTGGCCGTACCAAATGTCTATGCAGAACGCTCACATTGAAAGGATGGAGCGTCCTCATTCTCATGCCTCAACGTACGGTGTCTGGAGAAGCTGCTGGGAGGATAAGCGGCGAGATTGGTCTTCAAGGCTTTGCCGCTCCTCCCACATATTTTTCTACACATCCTCTGCAGTAAACAGGATAACTTTGTGATAGATAATATTTTTGGAATTTAGTAATAAAAGTTCATTTCGGAATGCCATCGAATATTGGTCCAGCGATATTTTGGCTCCACGTTGCAATCTCTCGTCCTAGTCATTTTTGAGAGAGCTGTAGGCCAAGTTCGTATATTTTACCATCACCAAACTTACAGAGCACCGGACAGCAAGGCTCCAGTCAGAAAGACGTGGACCGCAGAAGGTGACCATTTGAATATAAGCTCGATTTTGGAGACTATGAAAATCTTTTGTGTACGGGCTCTTTCTTTTTGCGCTGCCTTATCAAAACATAGAACTCTACATTAGATCACCTGCTTTTAAGTGCTCGCATCGTTTTGTCTTCTCGGTTGCTGGTTATTTCGGGAAAACCAATTGGAGTCCGAGATCTTCTGCTGAAAATTAGCACATGTTGTCAAAGGTGCAGAGGTGAAGAAGATGCTCAAGAAAATTGGCCTGGATCTCATTTAAAATGGGACCGCTTTGCCAGTGTTTCTGCTCCGAACAAGCTAGCGACCAAGAGGATGAGCATATGCATATGCTAATCTCGATAGCCGCTGTCATGCTAAAAATCATGATCCTTACGTCATGAAGCAGCACCCAGCAAGACTCAAAGATACGGTCGCTTGACATAAAATACCCTCTCAGAATTAGGAGTGAACGATGGTGATTGTAGCAATACATCCAACACGCTTATCTTACTTCCGGCTGTTGGTTGCGTTACGCGTCACCGTGGCGTGGCTATGCTGAGAAGCTAGTGCGTTCTTTGCTGTGAAACTCACATAGTCCGGCATCCGTAAAGAGCTCGTCTGCCTTTGCCATGGCTGTTTCTATAGTATTTGCTTCTGAAAGCAGTCCACTCTGCACTTTCTCCTCCAAAGAAGCGGTCGAGCAGGGGCGGAGGGGTAATACGGTATCATGAAGCGGCAACTCCACCTTACTTATCATCCAACATTCACCAGACTCATCAAGGAGACCCATCACGTACAAACCCCTGGCCGGGTCCCTTGCACTTTCCCAGGACGCGCTAACCATGCTTGAATTGTTTAATTCAATTAAAAATTATTTTAATTAAAAATTATTTTAATTTCTTTTAATTGTTTTGTTTATTAAGGTTTTTTCTTTCTTAATTTGACGCCAAAATGTGAACCCTCCCTTCCCAAAGTCGCAGATGTGACACTCTCATTCGAACAGCGCGAACGGACGGTTGACCCTTCTGAATCGTCGTTGAGGAAAATAGCAAAAGGAATCATAAAGAGGTACTGTGTACAAAGGACCACTGGTACACTTATGGGTTGTGAACTGTCTGATATTCTTGTTCTAGACATTCCCGTTTCCTTCTCTTATGGTTGCTTGAAAGTTCCGCTACAAGTACGCATCAATTCCAAAAATGTTTGGCTTTTCGCTTCGTGAAATGCAACCATAAAACTCCAACAGACCGCTGCGCAAACGCGCTTTCGTCGATTTCTCAAATTTTAGACTTTATTCAAGTAGCGTTCAAAATGAATATTTGTTCAAAATCATGAGCGTATCTTCACTTTAGCGAGGGTTAGGGGTGGATTTTGCAGAGGGTTTGCTTCGGAACAATGACCGAGAGGTGTCCTGGAACAGAGCGTTCGAGCAGATCCCCGAGCCCCAGATCTCTGCATTATACCGTATAATTTCAAGTATGGGCAGCCTCGAAGAGAAAGGTCTGCTCTGTCATGTAATAAAATTTAACTCCCCTCTCAAGGCGCTTCTGTAATTTCAGGACGAACTTGATGGAAAATACAGGGGGGACATTTTGCCCAGGTCGCACTTCGGCCTTTTTTCTTCGCAGAGATTGCCGTCGTTGACGGAAGTTCCTCAGCAAAATATTCCCTAAATGTCCCTCTATAAGTACACGCAGGCCCTCCTTCACTACCCTCACCGTCTTCAGAATATGACGTCATCTGTCACCGTCGTCGAGCTCAGGGAGGCCTACAGTAACTGCTTCAGCCTGAAGCTCTTACATAATTTCTTGGATCGATTCAACGTGGGATAGTTTCCTAGGGACATTAGCTCTAACTATGCAAACCCCCTCGGAACCCGCCCTTCGGAACCCGTCGTACACGATCAGTCGAGAACCCCATTGAGCTCGACCAGAGCACCATGTTTCCGGGGCAAACTGATGCCGTCCACGTAGATGGCCACTATGAAGATTTTCTTATGAAATGAAATGCGCTCTTCAATTCTAAGTTGGGAGCACACGCTTTGAGCTGAGCAAAGTGTGATTAAATCCATTTGAAGTGGAGACAAAATGTCTCTTTTTTTATTGCCCCCCCCCCCCCCCTGTATTGTACATGCGTGCCTATGCGGTTGTCAAAGGTCTTTGCGAAGGCTAGAGTGATATTCGAAAGCAGTTCATATATTTTGTATTGTCATCTTTTTTACAAATAATATTCATGCTCAAAATTGATTACTGAAAGTACCGAAATATTGGTGCAAAAGTAATTTTGCCCCCCCCCCCTCCCAGGGTGAATATTGCTTGAGGATTCCTCAACGGCACGTCGAGGATTTTCGCCTGATCCTTTACGTTCTCGCGCGCGGATATTCACTCTCGGCTCTACTCTCGCACAGCAGAGAGCGATAGCCGAGGAATTCCTCCACCGTTATTCACCCTGGCCCCACCCCGTTCAAGTCCCTAACCATAAATCCCTTTCCTTGTGAGCTGGCTGGTACGAACAAGGGACAGAGCACGCGACAAGAGGGAATGCGCTATAGATCACGAAGATTCAGGCATTGCATATGCTGTCTGTGATGTGAATAAGTGAAAACGAAGCGGCCAGCGCGAGGCCTTAAAGGCAAGATTCAGGATTGAATTATGAGGTAATTCCACTCAAATGTGAAAGTAGGGGTAGGTAGTGGACCGCCAGTGCAGAAAAGAGAAAAAGAAATCGTGAAATGCTTAGGAAATACGAGCCATTTCCTCTACGGTGCGGAGAAGTTCAAAAGGCCGGCAGGGAGATGAGAGATAATGTGAGCGCGGAGAGCGCTAGAGAAGTCTAAGTAGAGAGAGCATAGCAGATCAACATTCCGACGCAGTCAAGATATCGAGCGGTGGGCGGAGCGTGTCGCAGCAGGTGGAGCGTGTCAAAGTTCTTAGCGCCTAGCGTCTAAATAACGGTTTTCGAAGTAGGGAAGTGACGCGACCCCTACACTTGCGTGCCTAGCGCTTCTAGCCACCGTAAAGGCTCATTAAGTGAGTCTGAGTCCGAACTTTGCCTTTAACGCAAGGGTTGTCAGTTGTCCCGAATTCAGTTTTGATTCTGACGACCACCTCCCATCAACCCAAATAGTACGACGCTTCCGATAAGCTTGGTACAACAGACGGTTCATTTTGCCAAGCGCTCTTGCTGTGCTTTATAAAGTCGCGACAGTTCCATGACTTCTGTGCCTAAGAGCTATTATACTTTTCACTTCTATCTCACAAAACTTTGTCGCTGTGGTAACACTTTGCTAAAGGCAGTATAACAAGAACTGCTGTCGGAAATCAGCCCGCCGCAAAAATTGTTGAACAAAGCGTCGCGCGAATTCGGACCAAATACACGCCAAGCTCATGGACTCTTCAGGGATTTCATACGATATGAAGTACAGAAGAGCGCCATGGATCACTCCCTCGCTTTTTGGTAGAAAAGAAGGCCGAAAGGAGAGAGCGATGTGGAAGGCTTCATCTGGATCAAGAAACCATAGCGAAAATTGGGCCAAATTCGCACAGAATGCAGCCGAACCGACTAGAACACGGTCCGTTTTTGCTTTCTATGTATGCGTGAGTGTTTGTCTATCTTCTTTTCGTTTTTTCGCTAGTAATGCTTCGCGAAGAATAAAGCCTCGAAAGGAAAGAAAAACATGAGAAAAGTCAAACACGCTAAAACATATTGAGCA